CACCAGTCTTCACAAAACTTAAAGTGCAGCCAAAATAGACTCTATAGTATCTGCTTTAAGAGAGGAGCAAGTGATAAATTACTTGCCTAGGTGGAGATGAGGTTATTAATCAAAATGGCTTCAGGGTGTAGTGTTTTGAAGTTGTGTTGAGTATTAAATAATAGGTGAAAGGAAGAAGGTTTTTCCTTTTGAAACCCTAAACCTAAACCTGTTCAATAAAATGAAGCAGACACCTGTTAGCCAGGTTGTCACAGAAAAAAAAATCTTCATGAAGAGCCAGTGTAAATTAAAGCCTTCAAATCAAAATCAGGACTTAAAGATTGTTTTGTGTTTCTTTTCATAATATACAATAGCACAGTTTGGTATCTTACACAATTTGTTCAAGGCATCTTGAATGGCAGGAGTTGACCACAAGTCTGCTGTCCCCTGAAAGTTAAACCTATGAGTACTTCCTGATTAAATGAAGGTTTTACTTTGCATTCACAGATTCTCCTTTCCAGCTTGATTTGTTCTCCAAGAAAACAAAGTTTTCCACTGTTGAGCTCTACTGCCAAGGAATGCAAATTCTTACTGATGGCATCACATGAGATTTGTCCTACAGAGCTCCAGAAAGAGGAAAACTACTACTGAAGTAAGAGTTTGCATGTGTGAACACGCATGATTTACTCATGCATGCCCATTCAGGACAGAGTGAACTCTTGCTCACTTCTGCTGCTCAGGGCCTTTCTGTCAAAGTTTTTAAATTTTGCTTTATAGCATAACCTTTGGAATACAGAATATATGGGAGTAGCTTGGTTTGAATTTCTGGTTAAGGGTTAGGACTTCTTGTGGAGGGGATAATGCTGGAGTGGGGGGGAGGGAGCTTGCATTTCCATACAGTCTTCCCCTTATAGTTTTATTGCATACTAAAATCTGGGCTACATGGAAGATAGCAACCTCCTGAGGAGGACACTGTACCATACACAACACAAATGTATGCTGGGACTAGGTGAATGGTTTATTTACACAGCTGAATTGGCCTCCTTGTAACTGAAATTCAGACTGATGATCCCCTTGCAAGACCATGGAACCAGCTGTGACTAGTCTAGAAGAGCACTGGGATATATTTTTGACACTGCCTCCCACAGTAGTCTTGTATCCAAGCCAGGACAGTACAGTCTGGATGAACAGACAACCACACAATTAAGAAAACGGTTGGATGGTCGGGCTCAGAGGGCAGTGGTTAAAGAGTTGTACTCTACCTGGAGGTCACTTACAAGTAGAGTGCCACAGGGTCTATACTAGGATTCATCCTGTTTAACATCTTTATCAGTTACCTAGAGGAGGTGTTAGATGACACTCTTGCCATGTTTGTGGATGACACCAAATTGGTGGGACCAGTCAATACACACATTCAAGGGCAGAGCTGCCATCCAGAGGGACCCAGACAGGCTCAAGGGATGGGCTGGCAGAAACCTGATGAAATTCAACAAGGATGAATGCCAAGTCCTGCACCTGGGGAGGAAGGACCGCCTGCAATGACACAAGCTGGGGACTGCCTGCCCGGCTGGGGAGCAGCTCTGCAGAAAGGTCCTGGGGGTCATGGTGCGAAGAAGGCCAACAGCATCCCAGGACGCCTTAACAGGAGCATGGCCCGTAGACCAAGGGATGTGATTATCTCCCTGTACTCAGCACTTGTAAGAGTGCATCTAGATCCTACATCCAGTTTTGGTCCCCACAACACAAGACAGACGATGATAACCTGAGGTGACTTCAGCTGGGAGCCACCAAGATGGCTGGGGACTGGAACACTTGACCTGCAAGGAGACGCTGGGGGAATGGGGCTTGTTCAACCTAGGCAGGAGGACTGGGACTGGGGGAGGCTAACATCAGCCTGTAGAGCCTACAAAGAGGTCATCAAGACAGCAGAGACAGACTCTTCAGCAGTGCATAGAAGTAGGACAAGAGACAACAGGCATAAATTGAAACTGGGTGCTTTCAGACTGGATATAAGGAGAAACTTTTTCACGATGAGGACAGTCAAGCAGGACAACAGCTGGCCCAGAGAAGCTGTGCAGTCTCCACTTTGGAGACAACTCAGTGTTTTTTAAGACCAGAGTGGGTAAAGCCTTGAACAACCTGGTCTGACTTCACAGCTGGCCTTGGTTTGAGCGGGGGACTGAACTACAGCCCTCTCAAGATCCCTTCTGACTTGAATTATCCAGTGACCCTGTATGAAGGAAGTTCCCCATCCAGCTATCACTAATCCACAGGGAACACCAGCACGATAGCATCCTCACCCCAGTAGAGAATAAGAAAGTGAAAGCTTTCACAAAAGTTGAACTCTACTGCAATAAGGAAGAAAATCTTGTGCATTCACTGGCTTTCTCCCATTTTTCCACTGTTCATCAGCAGTGCACTACAGAGTGTGCAAGTTCAGCAAAAAAATTGGGGCAGGGGGGAGTAGGAAAGATGAGCAAGATCAATTTTTACATCTTTATCCTTTCCTGTGGCTCATAAAATACTGCTCTTCTCAGAAGATACACCAGTAAATTTTCAGTTTAGATTTATATACCAGGAAATAGGAGTCCCATGACATCCTTTGGAGATTATTCCACGGCTTAAAAGATTTCACACTCTAACAGTTCCCCAAAATACTCTGACTACATGTTTCCTTTGTCAGTCTCATCCTAATATAGTACTAGATAAATCCTCTACCTCCAGGCTATTTACACTCCCCAGAGAACTGAGGACTGTTACGCCACATAGCCAATTAGAAAGATCAAGTTCTTTTAATCTTTCTTCAAATCCACTAACACCAAAAACCTGTTTGTATTTCTTGCCATAATATCAGGATAGGTTTCCCTTTCTGTGGATGAGGTCCCAGTACTGACTGCAGAATATCAGGCATGCTCTCATCTGAGCCAGAGTGTAAATGAGCCCATCCAAGTTCTTTGATTCCCTTGCAGACAAAACCCCAAAATTGCATGTTTTCTTTTCAAGGCTACAACGGCAAGAACTCCAGGAGGCCTTGTCTGTCCTCTCTTCATCAGCCCCATCCAAAATCTCTGATGTCAGTGGAAATAGTCTCAATCACTTACAGGGTCTTGGATCAAGTCCCAAATCTTAAAGAATAAAGGCAAGGAGAAAATGAGGCATTAACTTCAAATGCAGCTGCCTGGAATTCCTGCCTTGAAGTGGGAACAGAAAGACTTTGAGGGTAGGCAGAAGGATTTTTAAAATTAAAAAGAATGGGATGAAGAGCATGTTTTAACTTTCTAATTGAAAAAAGTGCTTTGGAAAATACTCTGTGAAACTGTTTTGAATTAACTTATTTATTCAGTCAAGGGAACATTCCAGTCACATTCACCGGAAGAATAAAAACCTGAATGTCACAATATTTACTTTGATATTCTCTTCATAAATCGGAGCTTATCGGTGTCTTTATGCAACATACAACTTCTCAGGCTGCCTTCCAAATTAAAGAAAAACTAAACAGAACAATGTGAGGAGAGTCAGCCCATTCAGGTATTTCACAATTAGGAAGTAACAGAAGATTACAAAGTGTATAACTGCTTTAACCTCACTGGGAGAAAGTCAGCTCCTGACTTCACTAGCACCATCGTTTTGCACAGGGAAGCTACCTGAATGCTAATAGAGCAAGAAGCTGTATACACTTTTCACAATGTGCCAACACACTTAACCAGATCCTATGCCATGTGTACACAGCTAGAGGAAAGCCTGATTGCATGAGTTACATGTGCATTATGTTCCTTGGCCTTCCAGCTGGCTGCTTTCATGTCAGGTAACTTTCACCCAGAAAGCTATATACTCAGAATTCATAGCTACACCCTTCTCATTCAGAGAAGGTCTTACAGTCACTCTGTACTACCATGATTACCTGAGAACTGACTGTTTGCAGCAGGTTTGGTATATTGCAAGACTCATACACTTTCTGGATCAGGTCATTAGACATTCGATCTGTGACTAATTCTTCTAAAATCAAAACAATCAATGTAAGGCACATGTCAAAGGAAAGTCATCTCTCTTTCCCCAGATGTTTCACTAATGCACAGCCTAGTATAGTTACAGTATGACTAAGAAGTAGGAAAAAGCTTCTTTTTTCTACTCTTATCTTCAAAATGGTCCAATCAGTAGAACTGAACCAAAAGAAAACACTGAAGAAAAGCAAGAAGTGAACTGAAAAGGACATCTTGCATTTTATAATAACAAACCAAACAAACATTGCACTGCTTGCTTTGTAAATCTTGCAGAAAAGCTCCTCCTTAGCTCAGGCTGCCTATTTCTTAAAAAACAAAGACAAGCAGAACTAGCTGCAGGCAATGAAGTATATTAGCATTTGAATTCATGCTTGTATGTTCTCTGAAGGAAAAACTCTCTTAAAAGCAACCTAAGGAGCTTCCTCAAATGTATTCTGGCAACAGTTATTTGAGACTTGAAGATTTCTGATGTCTTTAAGGTTCCTTAAAAACAAACTGGGAAATGGTAAAAAAACCCACAGATTCCTGCCAATTTCAAAACAGGATGTTTTTGTTGTTGATGACTGTAATTAGGACCAATGACCTTGAAAATATAAACAACCCATCCATTACCTCTTCTCTTCTAATTATTGTTGCAAATATTTTTTTTTCTCTTTATAAACTTGGCTATATGAGTACTTTAGTGCTCATACTCAGGCAAAGACCAGAACTTCCACAGCACTGAAAATACTAGCACCCAAGGTCACCAGGTAGTTGAAGGGAAAAGGAAGGAAGGGAGAAGGAAAGTATTTCATATATAGCTAGTGATTCAAAATCAAGGTGGCTGTTATCAGCACACAGAAAAAGCAAGACAGAAAAGGCACCCCTAAAAGAAATGCATTACAAGTATTGCTGAAGACCGACCCATTGTCAGGAGATAATCTTGGAAAGTGCCCGAACTCCTGAGACAGCAAGGAGAAAGTTCTGCAGCTTTCCCAACACCTAATCCTGCAGCCAGAAACCTGACCCTCAAGTCCTTACCTTCTGGTGTCCAAATTCATTCAATATTGTGCCCAGCTTCTTTGTGTTGCTGTGAAGTTTATGAGCAGCAATGGCTGGATTGGGATCCCTCCAGTCAATGGACAAGCGATGATACCAGAGGTGCCGACCCTCCTGAATGTGTGCTGACTTGATGCTGGGGTCAAAGCGATGCACCTCGCATCCGCTGTTGGCCATGCTGATCTCAAACTGGTTGTCATCATTGCCTAGCCTATGAAACAAAAAGAAAAAAAGTAACTATTAATGCTGCAAAAAGCACTATTAGTGAGTAGGACATTCTGAGGATTCATAGTAAAAGAAGGTAAAATCCAACCTATTTGTTTCTGAAGCAGAGGAGCTGTTGTGCTCCTTCTTGGGATATATCCACAGCACTGAGCACAATCTAACCCTAATTCTGCCAAGATAACCAGAAATAAAGTTTAGGGTCCACAATAACACTTGCTGAAGATTTGGAATAAGAAGTTAAAGGAAATTTAAAGGAACATGTGTTTTTTCCCCAACGTCACATTCATAATTGACCTTAAGAAACTTTTAATGAATTTTTTCATTTATAGAATGAAACCACTGGAGTGGATTGGATGAACTAACCTCACCAGAAAATCCAAGCTCAATGCAATATACTGCATACAATTAGAAAGAAGGGCTCCTTTCAAGGTAAGAACTAAACCACTTTTAGACAGGCTGATAACCTTCCCAAAAAGATTCTTCTTAATTCAGAAGCTGACATCATTTATAAGAAAGTAAATTAAATGTTAGAACCTTTGTGCTGTCATTATTCCTCTATTCATATTTTATATTCATATGTATTACTCCATTTTCAATTTACTTTTTCTTGACAAGATTACAGTATGTTCCTTAGTCCCCACTGCACAAACTTCCAATAACCAAGCCATAAGCAGAAGAGCAAATACATTTAAAATTTATACAATACTGTTTTGTAAAAATCAGGCATATTTCCCAACATGTCTGTAATCTGGTGTTACAAGGATGAGCCACAATGGCCACCAACAGGGACAAGATGCAAGAACCAAATGCCTCTCTTTCTCCGTGCACAGGAAGAAACAGATAAAAAAGCAAATTTAAAAATAACCCTTCACAACAGTAGCGGAGTTTTTACACAGACTTAAGGGAAAGATTGCTGCTAATTTGGCAAAGACCCCAAAGAAGAAGAAAAATTAATAGCCCCATCATACAGCAGTGTTGTCTCAGTCCCTGTCTCTGCAAGGAAAAGATGTACTTTACAAGGCTGTGCCATAGTCCCACCTCCTACAGTCCATTGGTTCCACACAGGGTACACTAAAACTAAAAAATTCTGGTATTTACCATTGCAATCACATGTCTGGACCACAGGCCTTCCCTACTGCATAAAACAGGATGTCCTCTTCATTCCTACTCCTCCAAGTTTGTTCCAAACGTGGTTCAAATCATGCACTAAACCTTAAATTTAATCAAAATTATGCTGTTGGATATACACACATGTAGTGCTGGGAAGCGAATCAAGATTTTTAAATCAGTACTTCAACCAGTTGTACTACTTGAGAATATCCACTATGTACTCTTAAGCATGGCATTTATCTATCATACACAAACCATTACAGGGCAGTACTCTTAGAGCTTCTGTCAGAGCACCTGCTACACTATACCACACCACAATTATCCTTAGAAATGGTGTGAGTCTGAAATAATTCTGGCTATTTGCATCAATATGTAAAACGCAACACATTTTAGATCATGCTACACTATGGTACAACATTAAGCCAGCACTAAATGTTTTTCACAGATGACATACTGGTAAACTAAAATGAATCCAACTCATGAAACAATATTTGGAAGAGCGTATGTTTTAGAAGTTACCAATACGGTATGACACTTGCTCTAATACTGGCTAAGCACAGCATAACGTTGCCCTATTAGAAGGTTTTCTAACCATCTTCCCCTTCAGGTGTCCTGGGAAAGTAGGAGGAGACAGGGTTTGGAAAAACAGCCCAGCGTCCTTTTAAGAACAACTCTATTTCACAGGATTCCAGCCTGTACAGCCATGTAGGAGGAAAAGAGAGGAGTTTTCTTTCAATACATTCAACACACATTAGGAAAAAAGTTCAGAAGTTAACCAAGTGAATCGACATATTTGTTCGCATGTGGCTTTCTACAAAAGGGACACTGATGAACAAAGACCAGTGTAATCCCTTAGGAATGAGAAGCTGGCTAAAAATGAACAACATGCAAATTGTTGGGGACAGTTACAGCATTAGAGTGATGAGCCTACCAGCGACTGACAGACACATGAGTCCGTGACACACTTCTAACCGTACCAGCTGGTACAATCCAGAGGGCCAGATGCTTTTGATGTAGACAAACCTCAGGCTGCCTCCAGACAGACTGCTATTCATGTGGACTGCAAAGGGAGGTTCACAGTGGTGCAAAACAGGAAAAAAAAAAATATAGAGATGAGGGTGAAGAAGGTGCTGATATATCTTCTGGCACTCCAGCTAACAGCTCAAATTTATGCCCGAAGATCTAACCAACAGCAAACATTCAGGAGAGAAAAATAAAGTCATCTCCAAAAGAACTGGTTTGAAAAATTCCTGGCTCACACGTGATCACACTAAGGGATAACGCAGCACAAAAAAGTAAACAAATGAGGTGTCCAAAGGAAGATTTTGTGTTACTTAAAAAGGGACTATGATTTTAAAAGAAAGGTGTGGAGGTCGCAAAAGAGTAGAGAGGCCCTTCCTCACCGTCAGGAGAGAGCAGCTGCTGCCTCCAGCAACAGCAAGATAAAAAGTGCTAAAGACACCGACCTGTTTTTACTGTAAAGGAGAAGAGGGCTCGGTTACAGAGTCGGCAGTCGCACACAGTCCCCTGCAGCGGGGACAGAGGTGGGCTTTCAAAGCAGCAGGACCAGCACCTGCGGGATGGGCTCTCCGAGCCTGCATGCCAGCGGGAAGGAAGGGCTGGCTGGCACTGCTCCCCCCGGCAGCGGGGCAGGGACGCTGACCCAGGACGGAGCGCAGCACAGCAGGGAGCAGTGTCCCTTGGCTGTCCCCTGCTCCCAGGGTTGGTGGAGGGTCACGGTACACAGAGCCTCATGCCCGGAATAAACACCGGGCTGCAGCTTGCACTGAACGGGGCATCCCACCGGCCCCCGCGTCATCCTGGGGCACAGCGAGCGCGCAGGTGGCACAAAAGATGCTTTGTCTCCTCCGGCACAGCTCTAGTGGACACCAGCTGATCCAGCCTGATAACCGCAGGTTCTCCAGCTCCCACGGGGACCACAGGGCAGAGCTGTAAGAACATGCACGTTAAGGTCCAGCTTTCCCTTTCTGTGCTCCCCCTCCTCCCCTTCTTTCTTAAAGGAAGATAACTGAGCTCTGAAGCTCAGGGGAGAAAAAAAAAAAAAGCATCCCCTGCTTGGATCCTAAAGCCCCTACACTTTAAGATCCACCTGAAAGGGCTTTTATACAGAATTGCAGCGAGTCTCTTCAAACCTCAACTGGTAAGTTTCCGAAATCCTATTCATTTATATTATCCCAGCGTGAGTGCCTGCCTGTGGTGTTTGTAACAGACTTAGCTTAATCTAAGCAGATTTAGCACTAATAACTAGAGCTCACTAATGCATATTGCAATTATGTATCATACTGGGAAATCCTGTCCCCCAAGCAAAAACATTGCTGCCTCCCAGCAGTGGAAGCAACTAATACCAAAAAGATCTCCAGACATTTCAGCCACTGCTTGCTCCCATTCACAAGTAACCTCTTCTAGAGCATTCAAGAAGGCAAAGCCTCAGCGGCATGTTTTGTTCCATTTTTAATGATATATGGATTTAATTCAGAATTCCCAGTAACACTCACACTGAACTTTCACATTTGTCCTCCATCCATCCTCTCCACAGAGAATGTTCTTCATTGGAAGCAGCTGCTCCCCCTTTGCTCTTTATGAAGTATATGAGATAACAAAAATGTTTAAAGGGGACTTTTGTCTTACTCAGAACAAAATTACTTTTCTGCCTGTGATAAACTAAAGGAAGTGAGTCTGAGAGAAGAATTATGCAGTAACAAGCTCCAAAGGCTGCAGAAGTAAACTGGAGGATTGAAGACTGCTCCTCCCTAACCTCAAATATTTCCCTTTTATTTTTCAGCTGTTTCATGTGATGCATCATGGTTGGGTATTTACTGCACTTGTGTATCTGATGATTGATGGGAGAACCAACATCAACTTCAATCTCTGCTAAGCCCTGCTGTTCCATCAGTACAGAAAATCTGGCATTCAGGCTCCCCATACCATACCCAAAACAGCACCACATATAAAGCACTGGTATACATGCACTAGCTCAGATTTGTTCAAAACCATTAGCAAGTTAACTTTGTGCTGGTCAGCTTTGTGCCAAATCTGCATTTCCTAGCACAGATGAAGTTAACTCTGTGTTGTGCCTACCGGCCAATTCAACAAAAATACTGTTCTCAACCCACTCTTGGTCCATAGGAAGAGGGACATTAATAATACAGGAGCTCAGGTGTAATATTAATGATCATGTAACTTGAAGGGCAAGTCTAGATTAATTCCACTGAACTTTGAGTACTTTGCTAAGACATCTAAAGTCAGCAACCACATTATCCCAGACTTCCTCTATAATCAAAGGAAAGCTACATCTACCTCCAGAATGCTATTTAGCTTAGCTGATTTTCCACCTGAATGTGCATGCCTCTCCCTACTGATTACTAGAAGGAGCCTCAGGCAACGAGCCAGTACTACAGTCAAGCAGATGAAGTCTGGACCTGAGCATGGGATAACACAACATCTCTCCTAACTTCCACAGGAATGTAAAAAACTGAGGGCAAAAAAAAAAAATCACATAAACCTACATTTTGCATTAAAACCAGGTAAGTATAATTTGAAGCAGATTGCAAAGAACATTCAGAAAATAAGAAGCAACAGCAGTCAAGAGGAGCTTGCTCTCTGTATATGTGATTTGTCTCTAAGGGGCATGTTATTGTTGTTCTGCCACAGAGCAATGCAGCTGAACAAAACCTGAGTGCCCCTCACCCTTTGAGGATTTTGGTCTTTACAGCTCAATATAAACTCAATCCAAATACAAACCCACCCAAATTAACAGAAAACACTCCCTTTAACTGCAGTCCACTCTGCATCCACTTTACGTGAACTGCTGGTGTTAACTGCCATGTGCTAATCACTGAGAAATGCCACTCAAACACAGTTCCTTGATATCCGCCATTTGTAAACCCACAGCAGCAAAATCACAGAAATAAACTGCGCTGGTTCAAGGGAATTAAGCCTTTCAATACATCTCTAACCTAAAGCTGGCTCCCAGAACAGCAAAAACAGCTTTATTAGGCAGCAGCCATGTGGTTATCTGTGTGAAACAAGCTCCAGATCCCAGCGATCATTCTCGTAATGCTGATGGGTAATGCAAAAGGCCAGTGGCCTGATGAACTCAAGAGAACTGACCTCCCTCGTCCTCCCAGGAAGCAGGCTGCATTTGTGGTTTTATTACCTGTGAAAGCACTTGTTCTGTGAAGAGTGAAAACTTCAATCTCAAGTGCTGTGAACATCATAAACGCTACAAACATTTTGAAATAAAGCCGCAACATCCTTTATTATTATCCCTTCGGCACATGTCACCCCTGAAGTGCTTAGCAAACACACTCTCATATGGAAATGTACTATTTTGTCCCAGGAGTAGTTAATGAAGTTTTGTAAGTAATGCTGCTGAAGTACCTGGCAATTATGCAAGTCATTTCTGCTCAGGGAAGATGCTGTAGGTTTCTCAGTTTGTCTCACTAATTTCCATCTTCCTCTATGTTAACTACCACTCACTACCCACCATTAAGCAATTTGTTTTCATACTGGTATTAGAAAAGCAAAGGAAAACAAAGACCCTCATGGACAATGGTTTTTCCCTAAAAACAGAGTTTACAGAAGCACATCTATGCGTAACAAACACACCTGAACAAAGTCTGTATTTTAAAAGACAACCTTGTCGCAGCCTGTGTTGCATTTATAGGGCTTTTTGAAGCTAGGTGTCATGAAACAATTTGCTGTCTTTTAAAGAGAGCACTTACCCAAGGGAATAGAGACGGCATTGCTTGCTTCTGATTCGATGAATGAGGCTAAACCTCTCGTCAAGGCAGATCGACCAGGGCTTCTTTGCAGTTTCAGAGTACCCTCTCAGGCTGTTCAGGTTCATGTGTTCACATGAAATCTGTTGAAATCAAAGGATGTGTCATTTTAAGACATGACTTTCAATTTGTTTTTAATTTGCCTTCTGGGGAAAGAGTGGAAACAAGAATAATGTTAATTGGTTTCATTTGAATCTGATTGTCAATCTGATACGCAGCTATGGAGATCTGATGATTTTTTTTCCTTGTTCATCTGTTCTGCCTGGTGAAACTTAAGGCTTACATAATCCCCGAGAGAGCAATGCAGTTTGAAAAGCAAATAATTAAGTATTAGTACTATACCCAAAAATCAATTTTCCTGAGAAAAAGGTATTTCGACATTAAAATGTTTAATTTTTTTTCTTTTCAAATCTTGGGAGTGGATTCTGCATCCTGAATAATGTTTAAATCATGTCATGATTCAAGATTGTAATCACAAGTTGCAGTGTCACCGCAATGTACGCCGTATACCTTACCTAGAGTGTCCTGGATCTCAGTTCCAGAAGGGATTTAATCATTACCCCAACACATCCCCTCTCCAACAACAAAGGGATTTAAACAAGTGCTTAACTAAACAGAGGAATCATAGCATGTGTGTCTATGCTGTGCTGGCTTAGACACTGCAGTCTAAAGCCAGGAGAAAAACACTGCAAAAGGAGTAGATAGAAACCCTGCAGGGAAGAACACTAAGTCAAAGTCCTTGGAAAGACCAAGAAAGCAAGGACTAAAACGTGCTGGATTCATGAGCAACCTGGAAGGGTCAAAAATCAGCCAACTGAGAGGCTGGGCAGCAGCCTGCAACAGCCAAAAGACAGCCGTGACTGAGCCAACGAAGCTACGGCCCTGCGAGTGACTCCCTACAGAGGAGTCCCTGCCTGCAGCACCAGCTCTGCCTGTCCGCCCAGCAGCTCGGGCCAGCGCTTCACCCCCACCATTCTGCACCATCCTCTTCCTCCAGACCCACTCTGGAAAAGGCAGGCATGGAGCTGGGGAGCGCCGCAGCCTTTCCAGCATTTGGGAGCCAGGGCACAGCAGGCGATGGAAAGCCAGTGCAATTTGTACAGCTCTCACCGTAGCAGTGGTAAAGAGGTAATGGGAAGCAGAAGTAAGCACCAAAGCTGTGGCTACTTCTGCCCAGGAAAGGCTGAGCTGCTCTACACCAGCATCAGCTTACATGTGGTGGCTGAAGAACTTTTCAAATCATGTGCAGCCCTGCCATCAAATTCAGGGGTTGCAGGGCACAGGCTGCTAACACGCAGATAGGAAAGCAAAGACTGAGAAGAGTTGCAGGAACCCAGCTGGGCCAACATGACAAAAAGTTGTTCTTCGGGTCCAGTACCAACCCTGGCTGTAGTGATGGGAGCTGGCACTGCCAGAAACCCAACGATAAAAAAGGTGGAAAGAACAGTAGTAGAGACAAAACCAGGTTAAACATCAGTCCTGAAGTGACTGTTCTCATCTTGCTCCTTCCTTCCTCTACAGCAGACTGCCCAGGCTCAGCTCTCAGTTTTAGCCCAACCAAAAAGCACAGGTCTGGCTTCACCTAGAACCACAGGAATGGAACAATTTTACACAGGGGTGAAAGTGAAAACTGAAACCCAGCCTTTGCTGTGGTAGGCACTCTCCACCATTTGTCTTACAATAAGTAAATAAAACTCTCATTCTTTAAGAAGCTTAAGCTCTGAAAGTTCATTATCTGGAACATTACATCCAAAGAGCTGCACGCTGCATCACCACCTCCCAGCTCCTGCTCAGCTCATGATTCCCATGGAAAATTCATAAAAGCTAATATAGCATCTCTTCATGCTGCTCTCAGGATTCACAAAGTTTTAAGCAATGATTTACACTGCACCCCACCACCCATTTCCCTTCAGTCACATAACAATCAAGGAATAAATGGCATTGCAATAACAAGCACTAATTTTAAGACACAGAAGAATAATATGCTCTCTACAGAAAAGTAAGATTCTGCAATGCTGCCACTTAAGTGACTCACGGTATTATGAGCAATTACAACACTCAGAATTTGGAGCAATTGTAATTGCTCTTGCTACTTAATAGCTGTTGCTATAAAAAATTAAAAAAAACCTGAACTCTGCCTTTAGCACTATCACCAGTCTGTTGCATGATTTACAGACCCCCATGCACTGAGCTCATGTCCTGTTCTGGGCTTCTGCTTGCTACTATCACACAAACAACAGCACATGTATGATGGTTCTTCTGATCATTAGATAACCAGCATTGAAAAAGCTTTTTCTGGCCACACCTCGACCCTGCTGATATGGAATCCTCCCCCTCCAGCAGTTCAAGCCATTCTACACTAACGGCAAGGAGCTGAACTCGGGCACAGCAATTAGTAGACACTTGCTCAGCAAACAAGGAAAATGAGATTCCATGCTCATCTACGTAAGCAGGATCCCACTTCCAGAAGTGCTCATACTAGTCATGGTGTTACCCTGTCAGTTATTAATCCTATAACATCTGCCAGGTCACGAACAAGGATTTCTCTGGTTTTTTCTTTTCACTTATGCTTGTGTCCCCCCCAACACGAGGGTCAGTTACTCTGGGAACGAAACTTCTCAATTAGTGTGTCAGAAGTAATAAACTCTCTGCTAATTGATGTCCTTGTAGGCTTTGACCCAGCTAGTAGAGTTTAGCAGCATCTGCCACTGTTTATTAAGTCACCAAGATGAAGGATGTTTTCAGCTTAATATGCCTGCCACAGCCTAAACTTCTGTACAACAAAACAAGCAGCTCTACACACATCTCTTGCTGTCTCCACATGACCATCTTGCCTCCTGCCCTCTCAGTGCTGGCACGAGTGGAGGCAGAGATGTCATTTTCCTGAGCATTTAGCCAGGGGTACCTGCAAGCTGGAGCATAAGGGAACACTCTGCTACCCTCCCAGTTACCACACCATCAGCACAGCAGCATATTTTTAGACGTTTTTCAAATTAATATCGTCTCAGCCTTGAAAGTATTGCATTAACAAAGAATTTCACATGTGAATGACATCTCAGTGACATTAGCACCTGAGGCTTTTTGCTGTTCTCCAGTGTAAGCAATGGTGCAGTTAAATCTGTATTCAAGGGTCAATTGCTGAAAGACCTAGGTACCAAAAGCAGCCGCCCTGTCGGAACTGTGGGCATCCAGCACCTTTTCCATTTTTTTATTACAGGAAATGCATGCGTAAATGCTGTTGTGCAGAAGTGATGCCTCCATTAAGACATGATGGCCCAATTTCCATAAATGCTGAACCCTGGAAGTATCTGTCAACACAATCTGGATTTGAAAAAGCACATAAAACCACTGATTTTCCAGGTCATCATTTTTGTCCTCAAAGTATCAGGACTCTATTAGTACCACTGGGACCACTTGTCCAAGCTAGGGACTGATGCCTTGTTCTCATTTTACTGGGAATCTCAAATGCATCCTTTTTAGCTAAAATGAGCCTGGTTATCACATTATTATTGAGAGGTGGAGTGGCTGAATACACAGCTCTATCACTACAGAATGGTCTGTATTTTTCTGTGTCAGAGAGAGTGAGAAAGAGAGAGCAAATGGGAGAGGACAACCATGTCTGGAATTTCAGTCATATCGTACTCCTGTCAGGACACGAATGCATCTGGAAATAAAAAGCAAGGAACTAATGCATTCTTTCTACCCTGTGTTTTGACCTTTACATTCATGTTGACCATCACTGTTAGGTTAAGTAACTTTAGAAATAAAGCAGTTTTGAAACAAGTTTGGTGTGATGTTAATTCCTTATCTGAGAGGGAACAGCCTGTGCCAGGCAAACTGTTTTCTAAATGAAATGAAATGAAAAACCTACCTGAGAAGTGCTAATGTACTTCAGGAACCTCAAGGCCTCGTAGTTGAGGGAAGGAGTTGGACTTGCCCATGGTTGTAGTTCAATGTGCCATCTTACAGTCTGCAAAGCAAAACAAAAAACACTACTTAAAGGAACAGGATTCATTTCTCAGCACAAGCATAAAATGCAAGGGCTAATAAATTAAGGAGATTTAATTTCAAACAAAAAGAGTTTCCTAGGGGCTAGTGTACACATGAAAGTAATTTCAGAATAAAGTAGGGTTTGAACTACAGTGAAAGAGCATCTAACTATGATTTATCACGATCAGCTTTGAAAGCAGATGTAGGTAATTCAGAAAGAAAGGGCTCTTCATCCAGGATACATGTGTCAACACAGTTACTTTAGGACACCCAAGTAAGCCCTGCCTTGTAGAAATGCATGAAGAAAACTAAGATCTGAATAACTAAATCCTCTAGCAAAACATCTGAAAACAGTGAAATAATTTTAATTTTATATCTATTGCATATCTCCACTTGAATGTCCACTGAAACAAGAACTTGGATTGCGAACACTAATCACCAAAGAAAACCTCTGCAAACAATCTCTTTCCTTTTTTAAAATCAAGGTTCAATAGAAAAGAAAGCTTCTTGTGGTCTTTGAGAAAATTCCTCTTCCTCTCCCACGCTTGCCTGACAAGATACACCAGAATTCTGAAAAAACGTCAGCGTGGCTACGTGTAGCCCTACCACTCCTCACTTTCAGAGCCCCAGGGAAGTAGATTTGGTGGATGTTTTCTGTACTCTGTACGAGTCCCCTCAGCTCTGAACCTCAGGGATCCTGTCAGCTCTTCCAGCAACACTTCCCACATAGAGTGGGACAGAAGAGGTCTTTCAGACACGTGCTTGCAGAGCAACGGGGCTCTGCGCTCCCATCTGCACCACCTTCTCCAAATTCTGCCCGCTTTTGTCACACTGGGAAGTTTAGACATGTTATCTCTTGCCCTCAAGTAGATATAAATACAAGCACGGTGTTAAGTTGTACTAAATTAAGATTGATTCCTCATGACTCTTCATCTTGGGGCTCCAAAACTCACTTCTATGGCTGGGCAGGTATTATCAAGCTTCCCTTTAATCATCTCTGACTAACTGAGCTTCCATAATGAACAGGATAGGGTTTTTTTTTTTCCATAGGTTCATGCTGACATTCAATAAAATACCAAACAAACAGGAACCTCATTTGGGATTCCCACAGAACCTTATTTCAAATGAAGCCCTGGAAAACTTGGAAATAGCAATTAACCGGAGGGGATGGAGGCAGATCAGAGAGGTGAGGTGCTGAGTCCCCAGACAGGACGGGTCTGCGGTACCAGGAGAAGAGCCAGCACGGTGACAGCGGGAATCCTCTGACGCCATAGAGGAACGCAGGAGAGAAAAAGAGAGGTGAAATTAGAAAAGAAAGATGATTAAAGAGGACCACCAGACCAGATGGTGTTTGCCTTAAGCTGATATCATGAACTGATATTTTTGCAGCCTAAGTAAACATAGTCTGCAGTGAACGTGAGCCAGGAGGTCTGTATGAGGTTTATTGTTCCTTTAGGGTTTCCTGGGTTTTTTTGGTTTTGGTTGGGTTTTTTTTTTTTACCATAAGAAGATGCTGAAAAGGACATTTGAGATTTTTTTTTTTTCCCCCAGAAGCAGACAAAAGTAGCATTTCCCACCCTGAAACTTGCTGCCTGCAGCACACACGGGCTCCTACACCCTGCACAGCACAAGGCTGTGGGAGCAAGCTAGCAAGCAAGCTCTGCAGCAGCACATAGCCCTGACCCGCTGATTGCAAAAGGCAGCCTGCAAACACCTAACAGCAGGAGGATAGGTGCACACCGGGGAGGGAAATGCCTGTAATCTTTCAGAATGAGTCACACTTCACATGGCTGAACAACGTTTGCAATGACAGGAATGCTGCCGTTTCAACAGGCTTGAAAGCTGAAATGAAAATGAAGACCGACAATCATTTTCAGACAACCCGCTCCCTCCCCCAGACACCTAAACATCTGTGCCCAGTTATTCTGAAACCTATTTGTGTGAGAAGTAGCTCATTAAGTAGGGGAATTGCAGGGTGGCCATTGTGGCACCATTCAGCAAGAATTCCCTCTGCACAGAATTGACGGGGAAGAAAGAGAGGAAAAAAAAAATCCTTATAATTAACCACGTGAATGAGGTTCTTTTTCAGCAGAGTGCAATATCAAAGAGCCACTGTGGCTTTCTCTCAGGTTCTTAAAATCTTAAAGATGACAAACTGCCTTTCCACTGCCTCCAAAATGTATCAATAAACACATGACTATGAAGATCAAAACCCCAGTGACTCAATAATGCAGTTAATTTTAAGGGGGGGGGGAAGGATGGAGAAAGAGATCAACCTTTTATATAGTTCTTTAAATTTAGGAGCACTACACAAATGCTACTTTTGTGACAGAGATCAGAGCTGAGCTTCTGTTTGACAGCAATACTTTTGAACAGCTTCCCAGGTCCCTTCTCCTTACTAATCAGCAGCCATTTTCCATTCACTAACTAATACATTAGAGAGGTCTGCTCCTAACACCTTCTAAACACCCCTTATGGGGCACTGCAATAGCTGCATTACAGTAAGATTCACAGACGATGAATGGGGGTGAAAATCCAGTACATCTGTTGGACCAGGAACACCCTCCCAGCTGGTAACTCACTGACACTGGTGATGTGGTATGGGCATGTTCAGGATTCACAAAATACACTCCTGAAGGAGCCATTGCCTATGTACATTGGTAGCCTTTGTTTATAGTTTTTTTCCAGGTAATTTTCAGCCTGTTCCATAGTGTTTCCATGTAAGCCTTCTCAAATAAACTCTGCAGATTAAATGCACCTGGTCCCTGAGAACCAACTACTTTGTGAAAATCAGGTTTATTCCTGGTAAACACATGTTCCTTATTTTGAGGAGTTTTTCACCTCTAGACTTCACACTTTTATTTCCCCAAAGCAGACCTGACTGTGGCATCATGATTTGGATTTTCTCACTTGTCTCACAGAAACCTCTAGAGTAAATTACCAAGAGCAGGTCCCTGCGGCTGCTGTACAAAACAGGCTGAGGAGCAGCTCCTTTCACAGGGGGCTTCTACAGCAAGTACACAAGAGGAGCAGAGGAGGTATTACGGTCCATATTATGTAGCTTTGGATATGAAATTCAGACAGACCTCCCCAGGGTCACCCAGGAGGAGCCAGACAACCACTTCAGACATCCTGCATCTCTGGCTGTCACCATCAGTGTGCTATCTCCCTATGGTAAGGACGCATCTAACAAGACACCATGACTGTGTTTCCTGAACACCAGCGCATCCTGGTTTCACAATACAAAGAGATGGAAGTACGTGGAAAGTTACAATGCCACTTAAAAAATATCCTGCTGAATATCTTGAAGTATCCCTATATTTATATTGTTTCACTTACAGACACCTTACCTGAAATTAGCATTGTATGAAAAATCAGTCTTCAGCAAGAAGACTGGCACTGGTCAGACACTGACTTCAGCTACCACACAACTGTAAGAGATATCTAGAAAGTGCTGTCCAGAGTGATGTCTAAATTTTCACCAGATGAGATAACCACAGAGCAAAGAAAGCCTTAAAGCAATGTCATTGCTTTGTCAGGAAAACTAGGATGCATTTGAAGGTCTGATTTCTTTCCGGGTACTTCACACTTAAGGATAAGGACTGATGTTTCCATCAGACCAACCTGATAGTAATCCACAGTGACTTCTCTCTGGAGACCACTTTCTAGATTTTTCTCCCTCATCAGCCATCTATGATAGTCATTTGATAATCCCTTAATAATCTGTAGTATACATATGGTATCATTTGTCCTAAAAATCTGAAATCATAATATAAAGTTTAAATCAACATGTACAAAGGGCTCACAAACTAGCAGGTGTAAAATTGCAGGTTTGCAAAATATCTGGCTTTCCTAGCAGAACTTGAACACCGAAGTATAAATCATTAAGTTCTGTCCAGATCAATCGTACAGTTTCAGCGCACTCATTCAAACAGCCCAACCCCACCCTTCCCGTCTGTTTACATTTGAAAGGGAATTATTAAGTTTTCCATACTTCCATCTTTTTTAACCCAGTAACTGTTTTTTTCCCTCCTTTAAATCTCCTTCCTTTTTAGCAGCCTATTAAAACAGAAACATATTAGCCATGTTTATAAACAAAAATTTGGGAATCCCATTGCCCTGCCAAGCAGTCTGTTGATTCAATGAAGAAACAAAAGACTTGTCAATACATACAGAGATGTCTTAACCAAGGCAAAAATTTTAAATCCTCTAATTAGACTGTGCAACAATAATTTTTTACATTTGAGGCAGGACCAAATGTGAGCGAAAAGCACTTGTGGCAATAAACTCCATCAATAAACATAAATATTTGCTAGCCATAGAAACAAGCGGCATGCGCATCTTCATCTCCAACCATTCTGGCTGTATTTTGTGTATCATCATGCTCATCCCTTTTGGAAGGGTACAGTGGAACAGAGCTTGCTCGTGGGTGAAATTTTGGGTTTAATCAGTTTAAAGTGCAATGGGTGGGATTAAAATTGCAGAATTTCAGACACCTACAGGGCAAATGTGTATTTATTGGATGGCATTCCTGAAGGCTAGCCCTTCTGAGAGTAGATTGACCCTAGATAGGATTTACAGGCCTTGGCCATCATTTTCTTTGGGCTCCCTCTGGAGTTCCAGTGGTCCTAAACCAATTATTTTGTGGGCTTGGGTTTTTTTCCCCAATTCAAAAGTACCTTAAATAGTGAAAGCAGCATGTTGCAGCCCACCCAAGTACTGGCTTTGCCTCACGAGGGACACGCAACAAGTGCAAAGCCTGCTGAGATGAGTGGGAGGGCTGTTGAGGGTACAGGCGGCCAAACCTGGCACGTTGCTCCTCTCTCTGACGACACGGAGCAGCTTCAGTGGCGAATGATCCCTCGTGAATGCCCACATTTAGTTTCAGAGGCAATTAGCTGGTTGACTCCAAGGGAGAGCTGGGAGTGAAGAAACATTCCTGCATTGCAGACAACCAGGGACCAAGCTCCCACAGCAGGC